GGAAAGACTCTGAAATCATTAAACTAAGTCTTCTTTTGGTCTCTTTCAGGGACTTCAGAAAGACTCTTGACTAACAGTGCACCCATAAAATTAGGAGCAGAGAGAAAAGAAGAAATTATTTCATTTAGTATATTGTGAAAAAAATCTCTATTTGTAGTTGAGAAGAGGAAGAATTATACTTTCTGGAGAGAATGTGTTATTAAATCAGAAAACATATTTGAAAAATAGCAAGAAACGTAGGATTTTTCTTGCAAATGACTACAAATCCTGTTTCTTAACATACCTTAAAACCAGAAAAAACTTAGTGAACATACAATGAGTTAAGAATCTGTTGGTAAATTTAAGGAAGAGCTATACCTCTGCTCTGTATTGGAGATTGGTGCCTCAATACATCAGCCTTTTATATGATGCTATTTTATATAACTCTCATGTTTTCCCATTTTAAATTGCGGCACGTAGGTTTGCTGGGAGCTGCTTCTGTAACTAGTCAAAATTTAAGAGTAATGAGTTAAAAAATTTCATCTCATTTTCTGGCCTCCCTTTCAGATGGATCCACCTTGAACATAATACTTCAGTCTAACAGAGCAGCTTTGCTAGTATAAACTTCATAGATTTAGTTTCTCTTTTACATTACTTAGTGGGAAGCTTCGTTTTGCCTGTTGGGGTCTGCTTACATTGGGTTTGGACTCAAGACCTTGGAAGAAGTAGAAAGGGTAAATTAAAGGGGTGGAAGGCAGTGTCTTTGTTTTGTTCCAGGGTAGTGTTGTAGTTGTGAGCATGCTGTGGGTGAGAATAGCTGTAGAATAAAGCATTTCTCCTCCGGAAAGCTAGAGTTAGAGATGAAAACATTACCCCGTAGGTAGCTGACTCCCATAGGAAGAAAGCCTAGCCTGGAACTGCAGTCGGCCACAGTCAGTCTCCGAAATGCATGGTACACGGTTGGATGCAAAGACAGCTGTTGGTGGGTATCCACAAGGGCACAGCTACCCAGTGGATCCTGGTAGCACTGCTGGCTTGGGCAGTACAGTACAGATGCCTGTCTTGCACCTTCTCGGCAGTTATACTGGCCCAGGTGTTTAAGGGGATTTATTCTATGCTGGATTACGGATCTGTGTTACTCTTTCTGCTGAGTTATTTTTAAGCAGGATCAATTTCCTGAGCTGATTCACTGGCCTGCCCCAGTTTAATGATACGATGAGGCTGGTTAAGGTGGTGGTTCCCAAGTTCTTGCTGTTGAACATGGGTTTGCTGACCCAAAGATTTCTGTTTAATCACAGAGAAAGTGGTGTCTGACGTAAGAAGAGAAATTAAGGTATTGCACCATTTTACTCGTCAACACTTCAACATGGTGGGGAGGGAGATAAGTAGATGTGGGGTGATCTGTAAACACAAGATTACAAGGCAGCTTGGCGGTGTGCGCATCCTTTTTGTATTCTCTTGATAAAAGTGAATAATGGCTCTCATCTAATATGAGCTTGAAGAGAAAGTGTGAAATTCAAAGGAAGATTGGAATAAGTTTCTAGAAAACATGTAAACAAAAATGTAATGGCAGTCTGTGGGTGACAGCGTGAGGAAGAGCAGACCCACGTTCCTCTTGGAGAGAAACCGTTCTCCATCACCTCTTCCCTCTCCCCCTCCACTGGTTTGGTTTCTGTGAGGATGTCGGATACCGTGTCCCATCTTGACTTGTGTTTTATAGTGTTAAAATTTTTATGTGAGGTTTTCTCTTGTGTAGTTGGAATGATGGCTTCCTTACTACCTTGTTTCTGTCAAATGATTTTTGAGTGGCAGTAGCTGAGTTATTCTCACTTATCTTTTAATTGAATTTGTAATAGGCTTCTACTAAACTACCTTCACCTATATTGTATGTTTTAACTGTATTTCTTCTGGAGGTATACAGAACCGATTGGGTAAAATGTACTTATTTTAAAAGCTGGAGAGGACTCCTGAGACTGTAATCAAAGCTCCTGTGAGATTTTGTTCACTGTTTTCTGAATGCAGTACAAAATAGGTGCTTGAAATAAGGATGTATTTTTCAGACACTATCCAAAGTCAATCAATGAAAAATCTTCTTTCCCTTTTAATAACGCTTTACATCAGTTATGTTGCTTTCCCTGCTTAGATAGCTGTATTGGAGTCACAATATGAAGGTTTTTCTTTAGTTTTATTCAGGTTATCAGCTGCTTTTTTACTGGGGTAAACTAATGATCCTGTAATTCAGTATGTTGGTATTGTTTGAAGTAAAACCAAATATTTCAGTGTTATGTGGTCTGAGTACATGGACTTGTTTGGTTTTGTTTTGGTTTTTTTTCCTAAGGTGTACAAACAGAAACATTTGGGGTTTAGATTTAACATGTGTTTCAAATTTAGTGGAATTCCTTTTTTAATCTAGATTTTATTTAAGGCCTAGCACACTGTCCCCCTTCTCTGCACACCAGGACAGAACATACTCTGTTGCAGGAAACTGCTTATTTGCAGTCACCATATCTGATTTTTATTTTTCTCTGGGACGCTGGAGGATTAGAGCAGATTATAGTGTTGGGATAATGTCTGACTCTTTGTGTTCCGTTTAGTCATAAATAAACCCCTGAAAAATCTGAATGTTGCTATGGTGATGTTAGTAAAAGCCTGGGATATGGAGTAAGTGAGCCGCTTAGAAGCATAATGTCACTTACAGTAATGAGCACACCGGCATTAGAACAGCGATGGGTTTACCTGATGCTCTGTAACTTTGGTAGCTCACGCCAGATTCTGAAAGCAAGTAAGTAAATGCAATTCATATGAATACACTCTGTTCAGTAACTTGCAACTACTGATCTTTTAACAAATGGAAATTTGTGTTTTGTGTGTTTACTTTCTAGCTTTAATGTGTTGAAGCATCACAGACAAACAAGCAAAAACTTACAGTCTTTCTGTGCTGCCTTTCACATGATGGTCTGGTTGAATTAAAACAACAAAAAAAATCAGTTCACAGCAATTTTGTTTTAAACTGTGTAAACGCACACTTTTCTTGTGAAAGTGTGGAATATAAAAAAGTAAGATTGCATTAAAATGTGGTTTGTTCTTTTTTTTTAGTCTTTATAACCTGGCTTCACTGGAACTTAGAGAAAATTTGCTGACATATTTACCTGAGTAAGTGATATTTCATGTGTTTGATTATATTAACATAAAATGTTCTTATTCCTAAAATCTGCTAACATATGAAACTGAATGACAGCTAGAAAAAATACTTAGTGCTGATTGACAACATGTATGAGATACAGCTTTGTTTTAGCAACACCTAGTTACATCCATTACTTTCTAGTTGTACTTGGTTAGTGGCAGGAGCCTGCAGTCTGTGTCGACTGGTTTTGCTCTATAAAAATATTTTGTATAAAATACAGCAGCACCAAACATTTCTTCCTGCATGTATTGAACAAGCGCATCAGCAGTGGGAGTGGTGGTTTGGGTTGTTCTCACGCTGAAATTTTGTAACTGTGAAAGTAGGGTAGTAGGATCTCAGAGACTTCTACTCTAGCCCTTCATAGCATTTAAATAGGTGTTCATGTTTAGGGCAAAGTAACCAAAAGCTTCCAAAACCTGGAGTCAAAGCCTTGGTGACAAACTAGGCCTACTGATGTCTGAAGTCTGATTCCACCCACCGTGATTTTTGGGGGAAACAGGATATCTAGATGTCTCTGTGCTGTCTGTATTGTGGCAGAGGAATTGGTGGTCTTTTGTAAGATTAATCGGGTATATTACATTTTGGGGATCCTTTTTGGTTGTCTGGAAGAAGCCTCTTCTTTCTCTATTGAAGTTTCCTTCCTTCACTACCTGGCTGCTTCTTGCAAGAGTTTTGGTGACTCCTGTTCTGCTTGTTTAAATAATCTAATAGATGCTGTAATAGATCTAACCTATTTTAATGAGAATCTCTTCTCCAGTTGCTTTGGGGTCCTTTTTTCCTGTCAGTCTACCCAGTACCTCGGTTGCGGCTGTTTATAGTTGGGAGCCACAAGGCACTTTAAATGTCAGTGGTCAGAAGATATGAATTGCTAGCTAGGTTTTGCCACGTGGTGTCAGAATGAAGCCATCACAAATGTTGACAGTTTTATTGCTTCTGGAAAATTCTGACTGTCAGTAGTGTAGCTGACAAGTCTTGCTGGCTTTCATGCTGCTGCAGCTTTGGGGAAGGTAAAGAGCAGCTCTACAACAGACTGCTTTTGAAGTAGAAGGATGGCCTCTGTGTCTGTTCATGTTCAGAGAACTTCTTTTACATCCTTTTGGGCTTCCCTCTGCATTCTCAAATCCAACCTGAAATAATTCAGAAATGAATAGATCATGGTGAGAAGATAAATGATGGATTTATTGAGTCTTGAGTCACACTGTTACATGTGATCACTATGGGGAATTTTTATCCAGTTGCGTAACTGTAAATTCCCCCTAAAAATAAATCTAACCAACTATACTAAACTATGTGGCATTGTCCACCCCGAGGGAATGATGGTTAAAATGAAGAATAATGATTTGATTGCCTATACTAAGTTTTACGTTTCAAGGGCATACAGTTATACTGACAAACCAAATTGTTTTTTCAGTAAGATAACATTGCAAATAGTCTATGCCTAGTAAAATAACTGTCTGTCTGCAATACGCTGTAATTTGAAATATGAGTTTCAGTAAAATGAGCTCATTCAAATACATGGGGTTTCTGTTGGTTTAGTCTGATGCGGTTTTGTTTTGACTTATCTCACAGATCACTTGCCCAGCTGCAGCGACTAGAAGAACTTGATTTAGGAAACAATGAACTTTATCACTTGGTAAGAGAACATGTCACTGAAAGTGCACGTTGGTCTCGTTTAATGCATCATTTAGATTAAATAGGTCGTAGGATGTCCAAAACTGAAGAAAGAAAAATGTATGGAGGGAGAGTCTTTTTATACATACAGATGAATTTTGGCAGTGAGTTGGTGCTTCCCATATCTGCTTAGTCTTGTTCAGTACAATATTACTTTACCCAAAAAACTGCAGCTGATCTCTAGAAAATGGGAGCACTGTGCAGACTTTTTCTATGGAAAGAAAAAGGAGTGGAAGGGCACAAACTCTTGCCTGCCCTTGTAGTTACAATGAACACATGGGCTTTTGTAAGGAGCTGGATGGGCTGAACACAGGTGAAAGCTCAGCTATTTCCAGGGTGGGAGTAGGAATCTTTGGGAAAGCATTGAGGCAAACTGTTGAGGGTTGCAGTGTCTGACTTTGTGGCAGATAGATCTACCGAAAGATACCTGTCATCTCCCTTAAGCTGACTCAATTAAATGTTGGATTTGCAGTAGATTAAGAGTGTGTGTGCAATTTGTTAGTGCATGTCAGGTAAAGTATGGTAACTTGTTAAGCTATAACAATTAATTTGTATGATGGAGTTCCCAAATGCTTACAGTCACCCTTGCTGCATTTAACCGTGGTACCTCTAAATAGTGCTTGGCGTAAAGATTGGTTTACTCAGACTGTAATTGCAGGGTGGACGTTTGGTTTTTACCTGAAGCTCCTATGCTACTTAACATTATTACTTTTTGTGTTATAGCCAGAAACAATTGGTGCACTTTTCAATCTTAAAGACCTCTGGTTGGATGGAAACCAATTAGCCGAAATACCTCAGGTAAAGATGAGCTCTACTGATACTGTTTTGAAGATGCTTTTAAAAGAAAACCTTTTAATTCATACCTAAAGGGAGGTGATTTAAAATCAAATAGTTTTCTCAGTTCACTTTGCCTGGGTTTGGTTTTGAATGTATAAGGGTTTTCTCTTAGTGAGTTCCTCTGCAAGGGACTGTACATGATATCATATGTTGTTAGACATTTTCTTTTAAACATTTTGACAAAGGAATTGTTTCCCGATAGGCACATTGTTCAATTTATAGGATGACACATCCTCTGTTTACAGTCCTGGCCCAGTGATCAGGGAGCCACTAGCTGAGCTAACCCTCATCTTTTGTATCTATCTAAATTGCAGTTTTGACAGTTTTGAGGATGAATCATTGTTTTTTTGCAGTAATCTTCTTCCATTCAAATACAGTGTTTGGGAGAAGTACAATCATAGAACTGTTGCCATAAATAGAAATTCAGATTTATGCAGCCACATCCCCCATCTGACATCAGTCATGAGGTGAGGGGTCTTAGCATTTAAAGCTTATAGCAGCCTAAATTCCCTTTCTTAAGGACTGTGATAACATGTGGGGTGGCTTCTTTTCCCTCCATTTCCTTTAGAGCCAAGTCAAAACCTGTTCTTTCCCATTCCTTGTGCAGCTTGCTGTTATTTGCTGTATTGATCTCAGTGTCAACAGTGTAGCTTGGAAATCAGTTACAGTTTAGTGGGCTTTGTTGTCTTTGTTGTTGTTGGCTTTGCCTAATAATTTTTTAAGTAGATGTAGTTAAACACTGATAATCATTCACAAAAGGTCAAGTGTGACTTCAGCAGCTGTTTTTATTGAAGCTGGCCATTATTGTGTGTTTTGTCTAATGTCCAAAAGATGAACTTGTTGGATAAAGGATATGTGCGTGTTTAATGAAGGATCCTCTTGAGAGGCAAACATTTCCAAAATAAAAGGACTGATCTTGTGAGTTAGGATCAAAGCTGTCACTATATGAACATTTCATATATGTAAAAGTAAAGGACGCTTCTGCCCCAGCCGCTCTGTTCTCTGAAAGATGATTTGGATGACTAGAATGAGAACTATTCTAGAGCATGTATAGGGGTGTCTGTGTACATGGGTAATGGGAGGGTGCTCTGATGGCTAATAGAGACAAAGGTATTTCTCTGTCAGACTTTTAAGCTAATTGGTGGATTACCATTGTAAAAAATTAAGTAATCATTAATAATTGTAGATGATGGCAGTATAACTTGGCAGTTCAAACATGCTTGCTAGAGCAACACTCCCAATTCCTATTTCTACATTTGTTGCAGTTGGGAGATGCGAAGATATGAAATCCCTAGATGTCATGGCATGTTGCTGTATCAGCCAGGAGAGACTAATCCTAATTTGCCTAGGGTTAATTGGGAGGGGCAGGCTTTAATTACGTGGAGGTTGATAATCTGTAGTTCTGAAAAAACAACTTTGCAGTCTTTACTTGAAGAAAACTCCAGTTTTGGCTGGTGCTTGCCTGGGTGTGCTCAGCATACCTTGTCTAACTACTAAAGCCAGTCTGAATAGTTAGAATAAGAAACTGTGACTGAATCACTTGGTTGGTTTATTATATGTAAAATGTAGTTATTTACTTTTTTCTGCATTTAGAGGTCATACAAAGAATGGCCAGTTTAGAGGTCATACAGAGAATTGTTTTTCTTTCTGGAATTTCATTGCAGTGGTACATTTTTCAAATTGCTTTGTTACGTGTTTGGGCATGACTTAAATTTTTTGTCTTGTATCGCAGGAAGTAGGAAACCTGAAAAACCTGCTTTGTCTGGATGTTTCTGAAAATAAGTTGGAATGCCTTCCTGAAGAAATTAGTGGTCTGACTTCTTTAACAGACCTGCTTGTTTCTCAGAATTTACTTCAGGTCTTGCCTGATGGCATTGGTGAGTACAAGGTGAATGCTATCACACAGAACCATTTAATCCACCATAAATTGGAAGTTATTTGTTTTCAAGTCTTTTGAAGTCTTTTTGTGCAAGAGATGAGCTTGTCTCAGCTTTTTTTTTTTTTCCTCAGTATGAAATGCATAGCTCTATTAGTTTTGCATTTTAATTGTCTGCATAATGACTACCTCGTAATCCTTTTTTTGGTCTTCACTTGATACCTACCTGAACAAAATAAAAGTTCTGTTCCTACTCTGTCCACCTCACCATCATAACTCTTTAACATTGTAAAATTGTAGCTTGTAACATGCTATAGGTCACTTGATAAGACTGAATGACAGTACCACTACAAAAAATACATCCTTTTTAGAGGGGATGTGTAGTTATCTTCAATTGGACAATGTTATTAATCCTATATTGAACCCAGTGGAAGGCTGTTCCAGCTTCAGCCCATTACTCCTCACCCTTGAGAATCCAAACTACAGCCTTTCTGTGTCTGACTCCTTAAAACAGGTTTAATAACCGAGGAATGTTTTCTGAAGCATTACCAGTGTCTTTTTTTTTAAGGTGAATGTTTTTACCCCTGCAGTAGTTGTGACAAGTAGTCAGTGAGGCATTGTTTCTCTACTGCTCATCAGCTGTTTTCCCTAGAGTTTCATGTTGCAAGAGTGTGCCTTCTTTTTTTCAAAAATAAAGGTGTAGGGGATGGAGGACTTGTGAATGTGGTTTAACCAGGAATGTGGAAAAGAATGGACAGACCTTCCCCGTCCTTCCATGTGCTAGATAAGCCTAAGAAAAGAGAAATGTTTTTCTAGAAGTTAAACTTGGGGGAGTGGGGTGACTACTCTGGGTCCTACGGTTGGCTAGTGTGTGTTTGGTAGGGAGTTGTAGCAGCCCCCTCTGACCTGGGCTGGCCAGTACAATTGTTGTACATCAGAAATGGGGCTGTACCTTCTGAAAGGCTACAGCCCATGCAGCCTGCCAGAGGTGAGCGTGTCTCTCACACCAGATAGTGAACAAGAGGAGCTGCCGCTTCTCAAGAATCCTGTTAAATGGAGATCCTTTGCTGGGGAAGGTGATTGCAAAGGGCCAGGCCATTTCAGGCCAGGCCTAGTTTGCATATGCATTTTGTAACATTTTCTGGATGTAATTTTGTTACAAAAGCAAAAAAAAAAATTGCTGCTTATGTGAATATAATAGCTTGCTTGTCTTTGGAAAATTGGGTAGGGCTACTGTACTTACTCCTTTTGAGTAATATTGGAACTTACTATGTGAAATGGAGAAAATCTGGTATTGTGGTTGAAGTGAACCTCGCTAGCCTCTGTGGAAGCTACTGGGAGGAGCTCAGCTGATTGCCAAATTGTTGGTTGGATTGGTGGATCTGTAGAGCCCTTGCAACAGGGTTCTCACCTACACCAGCAGGTCAGGTCAGCTGTGGCCATGTCTCACCAAGTCTCTAAAGCCCCTAATGGAGGTGGCTCCAGCACCCCCAGGCAGCCTGTGTCAGTGCTGCCCCACCTCCCAGTGAGGAAGCTTCTTCTGATGTCCAGCTGGGACCTCCCATGCTTTGATTTGTGGCCATTGTTGTCTTGCCTGCCACTGTGGCGCAGACTTCGGCTTTGTCATCTCGGTAACTGCCCTTCAAGTAGTTGTGGGCTGTTCCTAGATGCCTCCTTGGCTGCTTCTTTGCTGGAGTCAACAAAGCCAGCACTCTCAGCCTCAGCTCACATGTGCACTGGTCATTGTGATAGCTTTGTACTGGACCCCCGTCAGCATCTCACCTGAACTGGGGAGTCAGGGGGAAAGACAGGACAGGACATGAAACTGAGCATGATTTTACAGGTGTACTTGGCCTCACTGGTGCCAAGTAGATGGCATATAGTAACTTCCATTGGTCTCCTGGCCGTGATTCCCCTAATGTAGTCCAGCCAGTGTTTATTTCTGGTGAGAGCACACTGCTAATTCACGTTCAGCCTGGTGCCCACCATAAGCCCCAGGTTCTTTCCAGCAGTGCTCTTGTACAGCCCGTGACTTACCAGCCTGTGCTGGTGCATGGGGTTATTCTGCCCAGGTGTAGAGCTCTGCGTTTCTTGCTGAACCTTGAGTTTCTGTTTAGGTTGTTACCTTACCGTGTATCAGCCATGTCTTCCTGATTTAGCATCATCAGTGAATTTGATGTGCCAGCCTATTACAGCTATTTTGGACAGCGTGGGGATGGGCAGGGAGGTGTCAGCAGCTAGTCATGTCTCCCAAATTCTCCGTCTTGGGCTCTGCCTAGATCAGCTCTGCTTTGCACCAAAGATCATTCTGAAACAAGGGAGCAGAATCATAGAATAGTTTGAGTTGGATGGGACCTTCAAAGGTTATCTAGTCCAACACCCCTTCAATGAGCAAGGACATCTTTAACTAGATCAGGTTGCTCAGAGCCCTGTCCAACCTGACCTTGAATGTTTCCAGGGATGGGGCATCTACCACCTTTCTGGGGGACCTCTTCCAGTGTTTCACCACCCTCACTGTAAAAAAATTCTTCCTTATACAAGGACGAACAAGGTGAGCTTTCTCCTCTGAAACAGTATCTTGCCCTTCCTGGGGAGAAGACCTTCAAAGAAGTTTGATTTCTGTTCTGAAAAATGAACTTGGGTTTCATGTCTGACTAGCTGGGTTCTATATTAGGACAGAGACCTTGATCTTGTTTGAGTTTGGGCTGTCACTTCAGTGTAAGCCTTTCTTACTATGGCTGAGTAGGCATATGTGAACACTCATTTATGCCTTTATGAATAAAGGCACTCTTTTATGAATAAACTTTATGAACACTCCTTTATGAATAAACATTGTATAACTGAGGAAAAAATAGATAATTTTCTCCTGTTTATAGGCCTTTGGGTAGGCATGTCCTTGACATTTACATGGGGTACTGTTCAGATTGCAACTTTAATACAATTTAATATGCTTAAATATTGGATATGAATATTTATATTGAATATGAATAAAGTGATGTTATAAACTAGCAAAAATACTGCAAGTGCCAAATGAAGCACTGTTTGAATTCTTTTGTCACCTGAAAAATATTTCATTGTCTTAGAGGATTTCTAGAAGTTTTGCAGCAGAATGATTTTCTGTAACTAAAGCAGGTATTGGAGGATACTAAGCTAAACAAATGTGGTGTTCTTTCTGTCCAGGAAAATTGAGGAGGCTCTCCATTTTGAAGGTTGATCAGAACAAACTTATTCAACTAACAGATTCAATTGGAGACTGCGAAAGCCTTACTGAACTAGTTCTAACAGAAAACCAACTGCAGGTAAGCATGGTCATGACTGCTCAAATGGCTGGCAGTAATAAGACCTGCTGCTAAGTGCTGAATCACTTAGCTTGTAAGGTTACTCACTGTTACTACTGTTAAGTAGCGAGTTTCCTTTAAATGCATCTTATTTCTAACCTGTTGAATGAATGCTGAAGATCAAGTTGTGTGTAGTAATAACCCTCCCTTCCAAAGGCTTAAGCAATTACATATTCACTCTTGAATCTTTCATGATCAGTAAGGGAATTGGAGCACCTGGAGTGCAGGTATCATTTACTTTGTTGTGTTTTTAATGCGGATTTTGTGCCGTGTTGCGTTGTTGCCAATTTTTGCTGTGCATTATCTGGATCAGACTTGCTGGAACTGAATAGAAGCCCTGAGTGCTGCAGAGCTGCTGTTGTACTGTTCCTCGCTCTGCTGATCTACTGCAGCCAGGTATTTATATGTGCTCAATTAAAATAAAATCTCAGACTTCCTTCCATTAGGTGTTTCATTCCATTATTTTGAAACTGCCTTCACAGGACACTGACACTTGGAGAGTAGGAGTGTTTATAAAAATCTGGGTTTGAGCATTTCTTAAGTTAGGTTGGTGTTTGGTTGAGTTAAGAGCTTAAGCCTGTTGGAAAGATGTCTCTCCGGAGGTCAGTTCATAGCACCTAAGTTAGAAGCTTGCCTCTCAATTAGCTATTCAGGGAGCCTAAAGTTAGATAATGTGGACATTCTGCATACATGCTTCTGCACACAGCTGTTGTGCATCTATGACCTTAGTGCAGAGATAACTCATGAGTGAATTTGTATGAAAAACTGACATTCCTGGACATTTCTTCTGCAAGATAAAACCTTGGATCTCCTTTGGAAGGCCTGGTAGTAATGAGGGTTAACTACAGTCAAGTTTTAAAAATGGATCAGTTTATTAATAAATTTTTAAAGTGAGATAAGTTTTGTTCCGACTCTGTGAATTTACAAATTCTGTTTGCATATTATTTTGGTTTTGTTGTCACAGTCATTGCCGAAGAGCATTGGAAAACTGAAGAAGCTGAACAATTTGAATGCTGATAGAAACAAATTAACATCTTTGCCCAAAGAGGTAAGTTTTGTGCAATTAACTCACACAGATGTGATTATACAAACAGAAAACTCTTGATTTCAAATGCTTACAAGAAGTAGCAGGCAGCTTTGATCCACTGGGTATTCTTCCCAAACCAATCACAGCCAGAAACTTGTCCATTAGATCTGAACAGCAGCTGTGGTGATTTGGTGGCTTGGATGTGCAAAATGTCTTCCAGTTGAACAAGAAGGCTTGGACCTAATTAGCTTGTGACTAGTAATGCCCAGTGTGGGTGCCAGGTCCAGCACTCTTTGAAGATTGGGAGTTCTGGTAGAGTGAACGCATTTAAACATCAGTATGCCTCTTCTGCATGCAGTATAAAAATACTGCCAGAGTCTTCCTCATGTCACTTTTGTAAGCAATAGCAAAGGGAAGGTTTCATACTCTGAAAAATGATGCAGAGACTGTCTTGACAGTCTTTTTTGTTTTGGAGGTCTCATGACTACTTTTGCCTTTGAATATGAGGACCTGACATGACCAAGATCTCTGATACCTCAAATCTTACAGCTGTGATCACTAGGACTTCTTGTCTGTTGTAACCATCTATGGAATTAAATGAGGCTAGAATTTCTGTTGTGAAACTAAATATAACGAAGGCCTTAGAAGTTTAGTTCAGCAAGTAAATTCTGGAAAGAGATCGGGGGAAGCAGCATGCTGTGATTGGAACATGGGACTGCGAGTTGGTTCTGTTTGCGCTACTGTTTCTCTGTAATTCTTGTCTAAGTAGTTCTCCTCCTTAATTTTCCTATCTGTTTCTAACATGTGGCTCTGAGGTTGTAGCTTTTGTTCGCCACTTTCAGTCACTTCTGGAGCAGGACGGGTATGTAATCAGGTAGCAGCTGATGGATGGAAATCGAGAGGAGTATCAGCTCTGGCTAGTGAGCAGACACTTCTGCTCAGGCCCACTTACAGAGCTTGAACAGCTTCAGGAGGGGGTGTGAGGAGGAAGCAAAGTGGCTGGGAACTGTAAGATGGGGGAGAGCCAATGGTCTGAAGAGGAGGGATCGAGCAGGGGCAGAGGGAACTGCCGTGGCACTGGCAGCAACAATTCCAATGGCCCAGATCTGAGCTGTCACAGGTCGGTCACCTAATCAGGGCTCCACGGTAGCCCTTACTGCTCCTTTACAGACTGGCTTGTAAGTGTATGTTTGTTGGGGGGGGAAGGTGAGGGAGGGAAGAGAAGATGTGAGTACTGCAGCTCCTCTAGCAGGACAGTGTCTCCTCTGCAGAGGTGCTGCTAGTTCTAAACAGAAAATTGCAGACGGCATACCCAGATGGGTTGCATAATTGCCAACAAGAGGCAGGACCTTGGGAAAACCATGTTTCTGGGTTGGGATGTGATGGCAATTTTGATCTTGTGCTCATTCAGCAGAAAACTTTCCATGTCTTTACAAGAACTCAATACATTACACAGGTGTCTTAAACTATCTGTACTTGAGACTCATACAATTTTGTGTCTAGTCCACCTTTAAGCAGAATTACTCTGAGTTTGTTATAGCGTGTAAGGTTTTACTGATACGGTTTATTTCTAGACTGGCCATTAATAGCTTCTGTAGTGTATAAGCACTTTTCTTAGTTAATGAAGTTCATGGTATTGGAGATGGTGCATGAGGGCAATTAGTGTGGCTTGGAAGAAGCAGGGACCGGAGCAGGTGAGACAAGAAGGCTCGGCTTCAGAAGCAGGTAAAGCAGGGTGAATATGGAGTGTGTCTGTTTGAGGGGAACAACAGAGTCAAGGGCTCTGTGCAGAACAATAAAGTGATTAATCCTAAACAAGAAACTGGAGACTTGGAACCAGAAATGGATTTCAGAGGTGGAAAGCGTTGCCCAGTTGGTGAAGAAGTTGGGGATATCCAAGGGTGAAGTGAAGAACAAGAACGTGTGTGGAGAACATTAGTGCACATGAGAGAGAGGGGAGGGGACACCTGCATAAGGGGTGGGATAAAGTCAGGGATGAGTCTGTGTTTGGAAGAGGTGGGTGATGAAGAAATGGAAGGTGGTATCTGGAATGAGGTGAGCTGGGGAGTTGTAGGAAGTCGAGGAAATAAAGATGGGAGAGGGTGGTTCCCAGGGAGGTGGGCAGAGAAACAGAGGAAACGGAGCTCCTTGGCGTCTACTTCAAAATAGATTCCCCCCTGTGCCGTAAATGTTTCCACACCTATGTATCTTTCTCATTAGAGCAGACACTTTGAAATTACGTTTGATGTAAGATTGCCAGAATGTTTCATTAAAGTATGTTTTCCTTTGTGGATTTTTAAAATTCTTTTTATTTTTAAAGGAAGTCAGTCCTCCTCCAGCTGGCGGGCCATATCCACCCTCTAGATTGGTGGATTTGAATTCCAAGCCAGTAATGGTAACAAATAGAAAGTATAAACAACTGATGCAGTGGTTTGTCTCAAAAGTACTGTTAATATATGCATATATATATATGAACCTACTGTCTAGCTAACGAGACTTTTCAGTTTCCATTTTTCAAGTTTCAGTTTCAACTCCTTGTGCTTAGGCTGTGCAATAAAACACTTTGAGGGAAAAGTCTTTAGATTGCCTTCTAACAATGCTGAAATGCTAGTTTTGAAAACAGAAAGAAATCTACTGCTCTCTGCTCCTATTTCGTCTGTTCCTGGACCTGCATTTTCTTTGTGTAGTGTTTTTCTTAACCAGTAGCTTTTTGCTTTAACCCAAATGTGAACATTTCTGTAGTACAAGTTTTCTGGTTAAAATTCAGAGGAATTCAGTGAAGAGTCACATTTCATAGCTCTAAAAGAAAAATGTTCTGCCTAAACAGAGTGCACAGGTATAACAAGTACTGTTTGCTGTTACGCAAAGCATCCACAGGAGCAGCTTCAGGGGTGCTGATAATGGCAAAGATCCCAATTCCAAGTTTGCCTTTGGAAGGCAGGGAGGACCAATTTGGGTCTTGGTGAAATGGTCAGTTTCATTTTTCCTTCTTGTCATTACTGACTTGGAAAAAAAAGAATACAAAATGCATTGATAGAGCACTTAAGGAAAACTGAAAAATGTGTCCCCCTTTTTCTACCTGTTGGAAGGTTCCACTTGACAGTGAGAAGGCATACCATCTTTTTCATTTATTTTCATCTCAAACTGACTAATTCATATTTAAAGCCAGGCACGAGCTTCTGACAGCAGTCATTTTCAACACCCCTGCCTGCTGTGTGTTGCTTAAGATGTCTCCTGAGATAGTTAGTTATGGTGAAGACTGGGGTCTAAGACCTTTGCACATCAATCAGCATTAGTACTTGTACACTGGTTCCCCCTTCACAGAAGCAGTCTCAGATGCAGGAGTATGCACTGCAGATACTCTTGCTTGGTATCTTCCCCTCTTTTCCTTTTCCCTCTTTTCCCTCCTGCTTTCGCTCGTTCTTTCTCTGCCTTACAGAGTGCTAGAACAGGTGTTCATTTGGGGTCTTCATCCTTACAAGAAATGGGTGTGGGACAGACATTTACTCATTTCTGTTGGAGAGGGACAAAGATGTAGTCTGGTGACATGCGTACAGAAAAAATGGGACTCTATTAGGGAGAAGAGTACATGTAACAAATATCATATCTGCTTGCTGGTGTCTCTGTCCTTCCCTCCAGAATTATTCCCATGCCAAAGAGAGCTTTTATAGAGATGAGGGCAGATATTATGTGCCTGCTGTAGTATAACCTGGTGAGATAATCTGAGTTCTAGCCTTTTTGTGGTGGTGTGGGGTTTTTTTGGGTGGTTTGGGGGTTTGTTTGGGGGTTTTGGCGTTTTTTTGTTTGGGTGGTGTGGGGTTTTTTTTTTTTTTTTCCAGTAGTTTACTAGGAGTGGATTTTGGGTCAACCTGTCAAACAATTACATTGCCAGATTGTTTCAATGCACACTTGTAAAACCAGTCTCTACCTTTTTGGTGTATGATTTCTTGACTTGGGATTACTGAGGAGCTTGTATGCAAATTCAAAGTTTCCTGGTTCAAAGGTTCTTCTGTATCTGGTGCCGATGTATAAGGTAAAACGTGGAACAGCTGAATGTCTGACCAAGACTTGAGTCACTGACAGATTTCATTTTCAGTATCTCATTTTGCGGCTTGATCCCTCTCTCACTGAATTGAGTGGCGAAACAAACTTCGGCAAGAACCGAGAATGTCTAGACCTGTTCAGAGTTAGAACTGTTTTTCCCCTTAAACTTGAAAGACCTGCCTGGTGACTCTTTGCTATTGAAATCCCACCCTGGCACTGGAACGCTGGTGAAACTGGTGTGTTGATTTTGGCACTTGCATAAATAACCTCCTTGGAATGTTTTCCAGTTGATGTGCTTTTATTAATGAGTCTCTACAACCTGCAGAGATCTAGTAATATCTAGTAATGTGTCCTTCCTGGCTCTGAGGTGTATTGTGTCTGAGAATTATTACTACAGTAGGTAAAACTGCAGGGCTTTTTTTGGCAATAACTGTGCTTTTTATATTTTTCTTATCCC